GGGGGGTAAATTAAAAATTATATGTTTATGTATGTACGAGTTTTCTTTCTTACTTTCTTTCTTTATTCTTTCTTTCTTTCTATATCTTTAGGGCATTTTTTTACAGGGAGAAGTAGGGCTATGTGTTTATAAATTTATTTACCTTTCATTCATGCTTTGTTTTTTCGTTTTCTTAGGCTGATTATGTGCATGTCTAGAACCCTCTACTACAAGGGTTTCAATAAACAGTGATGTGCCTACTCGTGTCAGTTACGTGCTGACGTACACGAAAATCTCCATTCTTATCTTGCCAAAATGTGATTACAATTGTCAACTCTTCCATCCCTTTTTGTTATGCGTCGACAACAAATTATTATATATTTGGCGTCGGTGGCCTCGTGGTTAGGCTACCGGATTCGTAATCGTGAGGTTGCGGGTTCGGGGGTTCGAGCCGCTGGCCCGACGTTGTGTCCTTGGGAAAGGCACTTTACACGAATGTTCCTCACTTCACCCAGGTGGGAATGGGTACCCGGCCATAGATAGCGAAAGATCTTGTCAGTATGTTAGTGTTTTAGCGTGCATATATGGCGGCTTGCACTGTATACTTCCAAGGAAGGTGTGGTTGTTTCAGAATGCTCTCAGGTCTGCTGTAGTAATAGTGTTGATTGTAAAGCGTATAGAGAGAGCTTGCTGTTGAGTGGGGATTTGCGTTATACAAATGCTATCTATCTATTGTACACTTCAACCTTTTCAGAGTGCTCGTCCACTCAGTACATGACGAATCTGTTGGCAGTTTTCTGATCTCGCTGATCATTGCGTGTGTAGCGCGTGGTTGGATGGCGCCACTGGGAAAGGGGGTTGAGGGGGGGGGGGTGAGATCGTTGTTTTGTTTGTTCCTGCGCTTTTTTTCGGGTGCGGTTTTAAGGGGTGGATGGGGGCCCTTGTTATTTTATGGATACTCTTTTTATCTTCGATGAATGACTTTATGTTAATGTCATGAAATGTTCTGGTTGACCATTGTTGCAAGAAGAATACATCTGTGATGAACCATTGAATTACTTGCTTCGCTTTATTGTGTTTTAATTGTGTAAACATGTAAATTAGTATGGATTGTGAGTATAGTGTAGTATTGAGGGTGCGGTGGCGGAGCGGTTAGTGCGCTCGTGTCCGAAGCGGAAAGTTCGGGTTCGAGCCTCAGTTCGGACACGGATTTTTTTTTAGCCCCCCGCCCAGCAGTAATGGGTACCTGACTTCGAGTTGGGGAAGTAAAGGCGGCGTGGAAAGGAACTGGCCACCCTACCACAAAATGCCGAATGCCCAGGAAGTTGACTTACTAACAAGGCAATCCCCAATGTCCGGATCGGATGCGGGAACAACTTTATAGATTGTGAAGAGCGTAGAGCTTGCTATTAAGCGGGGATTTGCGCCATACGAAATAAAATAATAATATGCTATTTTTTTTCTTGGCTTGTTCATTTCTTCACCACTCACTCTCCTCTCTTTTTATCTTTCATTCGCTCCGTCACGTTTTAGCTGTGAGTTGGTGAGTGTGTGTGTGTGTGTGTGTGTGTGTGTGTGTGTGAGAGAGAGAGAGAGAGAGAGAGAGAGAGAGAGAGAGAGAGTGTATGTGAGTGTGTGAAAGAAAGAAAACAAGAATCGTGCTTCCTTGAATACGTATGCCTGATTGGCAGGCAGCGCAAGTACGTTTAAGTCGTTAAGCTACACCATTTTCATTTGGTGACGTACTATCTGTCTATCTCTCTACCTCGCCCTTTCCCTGTACTTTTCACGATATTTATTGTTACGACACACGGCAATTTTTCTTGTTTTTTCTTGGTTTTTTTGGCTGTATTTTATTTTTATTTTTTTATTTTTTTTTTGGGGGGGGGTGTTGTTTGTGTTTTGCTGCTTTTTTTTTCTCATTTTTAGTTTTAGTAAGTAATTTACGGCACTTGCAACCCAGAAAGGTCATACAAGTGCAGACTTGTTTATTTTGTTCCTAGCTTTAGTATGAGAGTATGAGTATTACGGCACTTGCAACACAATAAGGTCATATATATATATATAATATAAACGATTTTTAAATAGTAAATCACTTTGAAAGCACTTTTGTTTGTTTGTTTGTTTGAGTAAAGAGAAGCACATCGACACAATAACGGTCATTTAGTGCTGGGAAAAAGTAAGACAGACAGACAGACAGACAGACAGACATAAATAACAGAGGGGAAAGTAAAGAAGTAGGACCATCCAGTCCAGCGACACCCTCCAACCGCCCGCGA